CAACCTCAAGTTCAGATTTTTGTCTTTTACATTGCAGTAGCCTACATTTGTTGTCAAAGCTACATTTTATTTACTTTCTTCCTTTGACCCCCAGTAAGTTTCTGATCTTGAAGAAAATAAGATCTGTGGCTGTGGTATGCAGGAAAGGGGATATCCTGCTCCTACTATAATCTTTGGCACAACTGTTTTTCAGATTCTAATATTCATGAATTAGCACCAATGATTCCACTTTTCTGACAGTCTATTTGTGACTCAGAATCTGTGGGGAGGTGAAGGTGAGAACGCAGTGTACCTTCAAATTAAGAGAACAAATTCTAAGTTACAGAAGTTCTGAAGGTTGGCCTATGGATGATAAACAAGAGACAGTTACAAAGTAACTCTTTAGATTTAAAAAATCTACAGAGAAAGAAACATCAAAGATATTTCAAAACATATTTGAAAATCTTACTACTAGTGATAGTCTTAAAATTATCTTGAAATAGAAAAGAATTATTTTTCTGTTTTAGAAAGGGGAAAAAACATCTAAACCTAATTCAGGAAAAATTGGGGTGCTAAGTAAATAAGCATGTTCAATTTCCTTTTAAATGGCTTTTGGGTTGAAACATAAAAACCTGAAACCACCATTAGAAAAACAATGTGAAAAATCTGCTTTAATCTAGCCCAATGAAATTATACACAAAGAAGCCAATACGATTTCATGATTTCCCTGAGATCGCCAATATTGATCGAGAGAAGGGGGAGGAGTGGTGAGAGAGAGGGAGAAGGGAGGGAGGGAGGGAGGAAGCCAGGCTGCAAGAAAATGCAACTCACCTTTCTGCTCCCAGGCACACCGAAATGCAATTCCCAGGGGCAGATTTATCGTGTTGGCTTGGTAAATGAGTTTAGCATTTTGAAAAAATATTTCAATGGAAATCTACATACTTAGGTGTCTGTATGAAGACAGTGCCAGCCTGGAGTCACTGGCCATTTTCTGAGCCTGAAGCCAGAACAGGGGAGCAACGTTTTGTGCTGGGTGCATCAAATGAGTCTTAACCAGCTCTGCTCCTCTCCTGTGGAATTTTGGTCACTGAGCACAGCCAGTTGCACTGCTGTGAACTTTTGTTGCACTAGGTGAATGTTTCAGACATTAACTGTTTCAAATTATCCCAAGTGTCCAGCCACCAAGTAGGAGGGAGTGGGAAGACAGAAGAGAGATAGTAGGAGCAGCCAAGAGAAAGGAAAACCAGAGACACCGGAAACCGAATCATTTTCCCTTTTTTCTTCTTGTGACATTAAAGACATGAATGGTCAGAAAAGTACGTCTGACAAAGCAAGGAATCTGTCACATTCTCACCCAGGCTTTGATATCACAGAGAAGACACTATTTGAAAGAATAAGTGGCAATGTATTGGCTGGAACTCAATAAAGTTGATCTATGAATAACATCACTGTACATTCCTTTGACTAGATGGGGGGGGGGATTTTAAATTGTATTTGCTTACTTACTTATTTATCTATTTATTTATTTGCCCTGTAGCTCAAAGAGAAAGGAGAGTAGCAGAAAAGGTCACTGAGACTAAGAACTGTTTTTCACATGAATCAAACCTTTCTCTAGCCCCAAGAAGGCACATGCAGTATTCCAGGCTGTGTCCTTGTTTTCTTATCAAGTTTTCTCTAACAGCTGGAAGTGGTTGGAGGGGGGCTGTCTTAAGGAGACCCCCTGCTCTTCTTTTGACAGCTGATCAAAAGAAAATAGGTCACGCTTCTCAAACTTATGTCCACCCTGTCCTTAATTACTGTCTCTTTAAACAAAGGCAACATCTGCGCAACCTCAGCTAGCTTGAATCTTCCGAGGCAAACAGAGCGCAACCTGCTTTGGAAGAATCTGTTACTTTTAAGCCTTTCAATGCCTAGTGCTGGCCTCTCCCGCTGTCTTCAACCTCCCCTCCATCCCCACGCGGGACACAGAAATGTTCACCTCTTCTTTTCCCAGCTCCACTTCCACCTCCCCACCAGGAGTTGCCAAACAACGGAAATTCTAGAAAGACGAAGGTGTACTTTTTAAAGCTGCGACTGATAAACCTTCAGGAGCTAATCACGGAGCTGGTTTGCTCAGAAACAAGATTTGAATATGCAGAAATCAACCGAGGTTTCTTGTCTAGTACCCACCGCAGTAACCCGGGCGTTCCTCTCTTGGGATTCGAGTGAAGCTCTGTGTGTGTGTGTGTGTGTGTGTGTGTGTGTCCTGCATTAGAGAAAAGATCCGCGGGTGTCATTCCAACTCCCTGCCCCCAAGAGGAGTTGGCTTGCCCTGGACACTAGCAACCCCTACCCCACCAGTTCTACACTCTCCCCTTCTTTCTAAGTCCCTGATGGAGCAAGCACTTGCTCACCTTGAAACGACAGCTCTCGGAATTCTAGTTTTGTTTTGCAATCTAACAGGACCCTTCCGAAGCCTCATAACTGGGAGATTTATGGGCTCGCCGGCTAATTAAATGGTGTTATTGTGTTAACTTTGCATGCATTACGGCCGCCCCGCGCTGCCCGTGGGCCGGCCCCGGCCACAGCTCGCAGGCGGTGAGGTCGCTGGAGTTCCTTCTGCCGGGTAGATTTTGCTAGTTCCAGTCCCTGGAATTTATCGTGCATCAGAATACATTAGCGCCTGCATTTTAAAATGCTAAACTACAGACTCCCAGCTAGGGACTCCCGGGAAGTGGCTTGCTAGGCGACGCATGTTTGCTTTTACACCGGCACAAACCGAGTCTTTTTCTTCCCGGCTTACTAGATCCGAGAAAAGCTTTGAGGCGAGGCGAAGGGGACCGAAAGCTGTGCCCCTTTTCCCAGATCGCAGCTGCCCTGGAGGGACACAGCGCGGCATCTTTCACATAATCTCTCTCCCTCACTCACACTCTACCCTCTCTCCCTCCTCCCCCCCTTCTTCTCCCTCCCGCTCCTTGACGTTTGATTCTAGTAGCAAAGGAGGAAAAAAAGGCACCGAGCCGTCAGCCAAACGTGAAACGCTCGGCCCCGCCCCCTCCTCAGCCATTGGTTGATACTCACAGAAGAACCGCCCCCCGGACCAGCTGTGGCCATGGAGTGGCTG